TCTTTGTAGATAATGAAAATATTATATTAACGGACAGATGTGTACTTAAAAAATAAATAATAATGTTGGTGTTCAAGAATGTTTGTTTACCTCTGTAATCCAGTATCTGACTAAAGCAGCTTTGCAATCTTATTTCTGAGCTTAAAGTTGGATCCCGATGAGTTTTTCTCAGTTTTGTATATTTGTCATGTTTTTAACTTGCAAACTCTACAGTGTTTTTCTGCTTTTCTGCTGAAAGACACATGAGGAGCACTTCAAAGATGTACTCAGCAGGGTATACGTCATCTTCACAGTGCCTGGTATCACCTGAGCGAGTGAATCTTGAGACTGAGTCGAGATTCGTGACTCCCAGATGCATTATGGGAATGAGGCACACATAGGAATTACAAGTGTGCAAGCGAAGCAAATCTAAGAAATGTCTGCAGCAATGCGGCAAGATAAGCAAGATTGAAGGATGCTAATTGGTCTCTTACTTTTTCTTTCATTTAAATAAAAATATATTTTGTTTTCGGTTAAAATGTATGTCCTCGCCCAGATGTCTGCTACCAGTTAGCTGTGACTTGGCATGTAAAACAAGACTTTGGGAGTAGAGATAAAAGGGATTTTGTTATGTCAGAGTTGCATGTGCCCCCAGCCGTCGTTCATTTGGTGGGGAAAAAGAGCAAAAACATCAACACAATCTGCCCTCCTGGGGTAAACAGAAGAGGATCAGTGGCTTTGCTGTTGTTTGGTGCTTCATTAGGCGATAGATCAATAACTCGGACAGCAGGCCAAGCGGCCCTGACTGCAAAATAAGATTAAATGAGAACAGATTTGATCGTGCATCAACCGGGCTACCACAAAGGGAAATGACATTAGCCTAAGTGGATACTCTGTGAGTATCACATGGGTATAATTAAATATCACTTAAAGACGATGATAATCACTCATTTTGACCGCTAACAATTATTTCCTTCAGTCGTGCCGTGTAAAAGCCCGATGTTAAATGTTGCTGGATGCGTTTTGGTGGCAGAGAGAAATAACAACCGAGATCGACGGGAGATCTTAACTTGGCAAAAACCGGTCCTACAGTTTTTATATGAACTGCGTATTAATCTGAATTATGACAATTAACATTTACACGGATTTACAAAGATCAAAATAATATGTTTTGAAATGTTTGATTAATCTAATAAAAGTATCCATTTGTTCCATTTTAAAATGCAATATTTAAACAGACAGCATTGCTAAAACATTGATTTAGTTAATGATAATAGTATGAAGAAGAAATTATATTTTTGAGCATTTTTCTGAGAAAGAAAAAGTTTATGGTTCTTTGTAACAAAAAATTAAATTATGTAAACAGTTATAATTATGATTTAAGGTCTCCTATTCTTTTGTTTAAACATAAAACTCTCTATTTGTGCATCGGTCTATGTCTATGCAAACTTAGCCTTCGCCATTTTAATAGTCTGGCTGAGCCATTAAGACAGTTGATAACTCTGTAATGGATATTTTTAGGTTATTGCAAGAACAAGCTATACCAAGCAGCAAGACGTTCACTTAGTCACATAACAGCTGAACTCCTAAACAATGTGAAACAGAAGATGGCTTCAGTCACTGTGGTGAACTCATCTGGTGTGTTGACATTTTGCTCCATCAGTTTGATTCATGACACAAATTCTCAAATACTAAAAGGATCCGATGTAAACCATCCAGTCGGTCGGGATTCAGACCTACAGGTGCGGTTGAGAGTTGGTCCATACAGCTATTGATCAGGCTTCAAGATATATCAGTTCTGCTGCAGGTGAAGTGACGTCTAACCCTCGAGCGGGACGAGGGTTAGACGTCAATAAGCTCTGAGGGTTCTTGAGCTCCTTTGCGTCCAAGTGGCTCGTTTGCCTCAGCTTGTAAATCAGCCAAACAAACGAGGCCGTCCTTGTTTCCAGGACTGCGCCTGCTTTGAGTGAACACGACTGCTGAGACGAGATGCAGTCAGCTCTCATCGCCGCGTCCCTTCGTCTTTTTACCACATGCAATTTCTCACACGATTTTTGACAACTCTTATTACGCTGAAGTCCTTGTCCAAAACAAGTTGTGAATCATGTGCTCCTCAACCTGAAACGGACACTTCATGGGGGGAAAAAAAAAAGAAAAAAAAAGAAAGAAAAAAGCCAAATTGATCCACAAGTCAGATGTGGGCACGAATTGGACGCGCATTTATGTCCAAGCGTGCGTCATTTCTAATGTCTGGTATCGATTTCGACATCACTGTGTGTTGACAAACATTTTACTGCCTCGTCAAATGCTGGTCGGCTTTTTTTTTTTTTTTTTTTTCCATTGAATTTAAAGGATAGAAGAGACAACAGGTGCTGGAAGGCTTTCCTTTCATATTCATTACACTGCAAAATGATGCACTTGCTATATTTACAGGCTGATATCAGTGCCTTAAGCTGGATTTTACATGGCGAGAAGTGCCGTGGAGTACCATGACTTGTTAGCCTGAGAGGTCACTAGGGGAACACCAAGAGCTCTGCTATTGAGATTTTACCAGGGAACATTCAAAGCCAATTGTAATACGACGACAGAGCTTATGACAACATTTTTCAATAAGTGTTCAACCGTGATAGAAGGAAAAGTAAAAGCTGAAGGTAAGAAGGAGGAGGGGGTGGAGAGAGGGAAGTCGGAGCCAAGCAAGTTAAAAAAGTATTTTTAGGATGATGTTTATTTGGAGGTCGGTGAAACCAACCCCAGGTCTATATACCACCATCTGTTGAGGTCTCTCAGCCTGTCACTGTGCTCCGTAGGTGGGGGACGTTTTACATGGACAGAAAAGTTTTGTAGATTCGCTGCAGTCAAAGTCATTTAAAACTTGCCTGCTTGCTACTAAAATGCCTTTTCAAAATTCGAAACCTTTCGTTTATGCCGGGATTGTGGCACCAGCACAGCTTAACGGCAACAAGCAGCTGTGTGGATGTGCCTTGCATTGAAATAGAAAAAGTCTGTCTTATCTCGTCTTTGAAATAAACATAACAGCTGTTTCAAGGACAAAAAAAGAGTAATGAATAAAGTTTTAAATATTTAAACGGCAGCATTGTGTATATGTGACTGGAGCTCTAAATTCTGACACTTAAATTTTGTATTTAATTTTGCAACTTTATGCAAACTTTTTCAACAATTAGCACTGCAAAGTCAAGCAGTTTTGGACAATTGCACAATTTGTAATCATGTAAATTTATAAGACAATACGATAAGGGGAAAATTCATCCAAATTCTGTTTCAACTGTGTTTACTTACAGTCCCATTGTGAAATATATCCATTATAGCTGCATAAATGTGCAGTAAAAAGACAGAAAACGAGTCCTAAATTATCTCTTGGATATGCCAATTCATTCTAATTAGACTAGATATAGGTATATTTTTGAAATTTAGGTCCACAAAAACAGAAAAAAACATTCCTAATTATTTAAACCTGAAAGTGAGTTACTCCATAATTAGTTCCATCTAAAACAACTTTATTTATCCCAAAGGAAAATTAAATCCAACTGCTGCCAATGCAAGGAAATGTACTGATTTGATACACGAGCAGCTACTTTTAATATTTGTGTCCATAATTTTAAAATGCTGTCTCGTTTATTAAATTTTATATAAAACTCTTCTCTGTTTATGAGTTTTTGTGAATGACAATAGCCTAGAGCATCAAAATCTGGCTTGGTTTCACGGCACCATTCTGAAACTGTGTACCTTAAGAATTATGACAAGTGTAATAAAAAGATGATAAAACTTGTTTTTAATTATCCTCCATTTAATTAACTATTTTCTTTTCAAACTGAACATGTCGACTAATTGTGATGTAGCTGGACACTAGTTAGTTCAAACCTAATGTTGAAATTAAGTCACTTTGAACATAAATTTGATAACAATTTGATATTTGTCGGAATGTCCAGCACTGTTAATGAGATAAACCCTAATGGTATTTCCTGAGCCATGAGTAATGATTTACTGAAAAGCTATTTTCAGCTCGGACTCCAGGAATTGTTGGGTGGAACAAGGAAATGGTCCCTCCTACAAAAACCCCGCCATCAAACATGGTGACCAGGTAGGAAGTAGAAAACGCAACATCAAGCTAACAAACAAGAAATTGACATTAAATTAAAAATAACAAAAAAAATGTTTAAAATACTTGGGGGAATATTTTACAAGCTAAATAAAGCTGTATTTACTGGCTGTGCTTTCGTTCAGATTGTCAGAAGGAGCGCCTACCTCATTAAACACACTTGTGAGGAGATGACGTAAGGCCTGTGAGTTACCATGGTGATTGGTTACTAAGCGTCGGAGCTAGCTTCGTGTGGCTAACAATATCGAGATAAAATTACGTTTTTTAATAAAATTGTAGGGCATTGTGTATTCCCTACATAGCTCATTTTAATTACTTTAATTCCAAATACACAAGTATTGCAAATATTTCTACTTTTGGAGGCCGTTTTATTTAATAGCAGCTAAAATATTAATTTGCTAAGATTTGTTTTTCCTGTACAACTTTAGTTTGCTTTTTTTGGTTTTGTTGTTGAACTGATTTGACACTTTGTCAAAAGTGTCAGAGATTAACGTGTAGTTTTCCCGGTTGAGACTTAAATGTCTGCCAAAGAAAAAGAAAAAAAAAGGTGGGGGAGGGTGGGTATTAAATTTAGACAATCTGCAAGGCACTGTGGGGTAACTGAAAGACAACACTGAGAAAGTTCCGCAGCCTAAAATATCTGCCCACACAGCTTCCAGCAGGACTGAAGTGCCAGGTGCGGGGACACCAAAGGCGCAGCTGAGCCAATTATATTGGACTGTTAAAAAGTTCATTATTACAACCAGTTTAGTGATTTTAAAGCCATTCAGAATGATAAAATACACAGAGATGCCACTCAGTGACGCTTTTGTGAGCGTAAAGCGCATGGGCAAATCTGTGCGCAATTACGCAGGGCACCACAGGCTACAGTCCGCTGCTGCAGAGGCGGCACATCCAACCCTACCTTCCTCTGCTGCTTCTCCCAGGCAGGGTCCAGCAGCAGGTCCCTGTCCCAGTCCTCCTCCTGGGTCATATACGTATCTTCATGTTGGATCGTATAGGAGGTGTTATATGTAATTTGGGTTTCGACAGCTGTCATCGTTCCGCCTCTGTCAGGACTCCGTAAGTCCCCCTCAGCTTATAGTGACAAAAAAAAAAAATAAAATAAAAAATATATATATATATCAACTCGAGACACGACGAGGGGAGAGGCAGGGGCTGCGGAGACCAGACTCCTCTGGTGAGAGGTGGCTGTGCGAAGGTGGTGGCCACTAACAGAAGACCCTGCTGGCCGGTGCTCCTTTCCTGGTCAAAAGTAGCACACGTGACAGCACCCCAATAAGTATGGGTCCTTACAGCTTGGGTGTCAGGTTCTGAGCCTCAAAAGGCCTAAAAGGCGGAGTTAAACTTTGCAATTGGGGGTAGCTGGTTTGTGATTGGTCTGGCTTTCTGTCAATTACACCTCCTCTCAACACGGGTTGGGGCACGGGGGTTATGGCCCGTGTAATGCACCTGTCGCTGTTAGTGATCCTTGATGGTAAACTCAGGCCTCTTTAGCGTCATACAACTTTTTAAAATGCAACATCACCAAAAAACAAAACAAAAAAAGAATATAGAATTTTCTATGAAGACAAAAATAAAATACACTAATGCATGGACAGTTCCTCATTTTATGAAATATTAGTAAAGGTATTCTTACTCCAGGAACTGTTTCGTGTTGCTGCAACTACAGCTTCAAGTTTTTAGGTTATGCATCACCTGTGATAAAAAAGACAGCATGATGCTGCCTCCACCCCATTTCACCCTGGTGAGTGTCAGTTTTCCACCACATGTTGTTTTGCTTGAAGTTCAAAAAGTTCAGTTTCAGTCTAATGTAAAAAAATAAATAAAATATTCCAAACTGAGCTTTAAAATTCACATCCAGTTACCATAGCATTCATACCCAGCCTGCCAGTTTAAGTGACCAACCATGTTTGGAGTTGTGATGTACTTTTAATTTTCAGGATATTTAGCCCTTTGACGTAAATCTGAAATAATATTTTGTAATCTACATGTACTCTTAACTTATCCACATCTTTATCCCTCAACTATCTGTTGTTTTTATTGATCGTCATGTGTTGGCTTGTTCACTAATGTTCTCAAACATCCGAGCCCTTCACAGCTGGACTCAAATTTATACTCAGACTAGATTATAAAAGTGAACCTTGTTTAGTAATTAGGTGGATTTGGTTGGACTTTTTTTTCTTCTTAATGATAGAAAAAAAAAGGGTAATTTACAAATTTGTCAACACACAGAGTTTCTTCTGTTAAGAATATGAAAATCATTTTCATTCCACTTCACAGCTATCTACTACTTTGTTAGTTTATCAGTTACATATTCCTCACAGCAGCTCTAAAATCAAATTCACACACTTTGTTTTTCAGCTACATCCTAATGTTGCGAGTTGGAATAACAGATCTGGACACCGATATGAGGAAAAAAAAGTTTATTCGTAAATTGCATGCAAAAAAAAAAAAAAAAAAAAAGACGACATTTTTCAGAAATACATTTTAAAAGGCATATATATGAATACACAACCATACAATATAACTTGTATCTATATCGGATTTGTCATTCACAGTAAACATGATGCAAATTTCTGGTCTAACATTTGGGAATTGAAATCCCCTAACATTCAGTTTTGTGCTAACGCTAATTGCTTTGAAATGAGCATATCCACATTCCTACCCTCTTGAGATAGCAAATTACTAAGTCACCCTTTACGTCTTTGGAATCTAGAGTGATTTAGAAAGTAATTAATCAAACATCTGATGTAACTACAGTAAGCTTGGTCCATTAACCTACTTTAGGAAGCTCAGTGGTTACATTACTGCTCCTCTCGTGAGGCTGGGAACGGTTGAAACGAGTGATCTGACCGATGTAAACATGTTGAGTTTTCATTATAAAGTAGCTTGTGTAAAACTCGCTAGACTTATCAGTTATTTGCTTTTAATTGTTCATTGATCAACATCAATAAAGGAAATAATACTTGCATCTATAGTGTGTAAAAACTGCACCGCTTCCTGTCAAGTTCGCCCTTTCTGGATGAAGACAAAAAAAAAAAAAAAAATGTCTGAGGTTTGCCCCTGCTGTTATCTACATCAGTCCTTTCCCATTCAAATTTGTGCTTAAAAAGTCACATCAATTAAAACAAAAAAGTTTTAAAGCAGACTGGGCTCTATGAAGGGACAAAAGTGCCATATTCAAATTAACTAGTTAAAAAAAGTGTATAATAAAGTATTCAAATTGGAAATACTGGAATTAATACTGTAGTCTGCAGCACAACATGAACACAGTTCATGATTGGTCAGAGGGCGGGGCTAACACCTCTAGTTAAAGGTGATTGGTCTAAACAAGAGTCTCATTTGCAGATTAACCAATTAGAGTTCATGGTCCTAATGAGTGCATTAATGAAGGATTAGAACTGTGAAAAACTACTAAATTAAATCTGTATGATTTTATTATATACCTACTTTAAATTGTAATCAGAGTTTCACATTTAATATCTAAAAATAAATATTTAATATAAAAAGAGTAGTACAATAGTCAATATTTAAGTAGTACATGGAACACATTATTTGCTTATTAAATGTATCCATTTAATAACATAAAATTCACTAGATTGTGACACTTTTGGCCCTTCATAGGACTGGCTTGAGAAAAAAAAAAAAAACAACTTGTACCAATTTGCACTTAGCTGGATATCCCCGGCAGGAAGACAGACATGACCTTCAGGATCCCACTCAAAACAACGAACTGACACGTGCGTAATATGCACATGCACTTTTCTTTAGCTAAAACAACAACAGACAAAAAGGTGGACGGGGGGGTCTGGGTGTGGGAGTAGGCTGACGGGGGGCTGCAGTGAGCTTTGGCGGGCGATGCAGTGCAACTGATTTACAAGCAGGGTTTTCTTTTTTCTTTTCTTTTGTAGAGATGCAGAACTGCATTTACCCAAGCATGATCGAAGGCCCAGACTTACAAGCGCCAGAAGAAGCCTTTAGTGGGGAGCTGGGAGAGTGAAGAAGGAGGTATGGAGGCGCTAGCGGGGAGAGAGGATGTTGAGACGGAGGCCCTACTCTGGTTTAGGTTTATTATAATACAAGAACGGTGTACGAAAATAGATTTGTAACCCTTTTTATTGCTCTATATGATCCATACCTTCAAAACTAAACCAAGAACTCACCTCATTAATCAACCCATCAAATTTCCTAATATTTTGTGCTTTCTTGCTCATTAGGCATAAAGAGAGCATCACTCCCATCCAGAAACTCTTAGGGAAAATGCGAGACAAGTTAACTGAAACCTGGTCCACAGAATGAACTCCCTAAAAGTAAGTAAGTAAGTAAGTACACATACAAGCTACTAAGACGTGTGACAGAAAAGTCCTATAGGAACCCTGAGATTGAGGAGAATCTACAGGTCAGTCTGGCCTGTGGGCCTTTCCTATAGGACCTTTCTGACTGACAAATGTCAATCTTCTGCTTCAAGTTGCTTTACATTACACGTTGCCTTCACATCCCCTGCCAGAGCCATGTTATGGACAACCAACATTCAACAGTTGCAGCAAAGCAATTCCTCGAGCTCTGAAGTCTCTCTGTGTCACAGGACAAAGTCCAAAGGAGGGGCGCCACAAATACAGTCCTTTTCGACACGCCAGGGCGTCTATGGTAACAAACGAGGATGGTGGGGAGGGAGGTGTTTTGGGTCAGGTGGGTGGTTCTGGGAAGTTGAGTCCAAGCCAGAGCGATGGAACCCAGATCCAAGGTGGCGGCGGTGCCGGCGGGTAAAAAAAACAAAAAGCGCTGTGTGCGTGGACGGCGGAGAGGTGAGGAGATGCGCAAAGAGGGAGAGCAGGGTGGGGTGAAGGAGGGAGAGGGGGAAGAGGAGGAAGGAAGGAAGAGTGAGGAGGGTTGAGGGCGGCGAATACGGCGGTGGACAGGAGTTGATTAGCTGGCAAGGGGAAGGGTTTGAGGTGTGTCCACTTACGCCAAGCCTCATTGACCAATGAAATGGCGCCCAAAAAGTATCCCGTTTTTTTGTGCATTTTTTTTTTTTTAGCACCCACACTCACACTCAAGCGCACCCTGACACATCGCACGTATTGTTCACCAGCTCACACAACAACCGAACAAAGGGCACCTCAATATGCTGATGCAGGACAGGATCAGTCCTAAGAAGGGGTCTTAACCCTGCCCCACCCCAGCCGGCCCATCACTCCCAGTGAGGAGAAGACCCAGGCTACAGGTACAAACACTGCCGATGCAGTAGAAGAGAGATTACGGACTCGGGGGGTTGGGGGGGAGAGAGAGAAGGGGAGGTGGTAATGGCGGAGGGAAGGAAGAGGGGTAGGAGTGTTGTATCAAGCCACAGTCAAAGGAAAGTGAGGAGGGGGATGGGGCAATTAAGGAGAAGAGATGTCAGTGCTGTCATGATTTCTTTCTTTTGCATTTAGTCGATTTACCTTGGTGGTGAAGAGAAAGAGAGACAACAAGTTTCCACTGCGGTGGCGTCGCGCTAAAAGTCGTCCCCACGGCTCACGCGAGGCAGCACACAGGGTGTTCCAGGTAGCACGGTGACCTAATTCAGTTGAGATAGTTAGTTCAGAGCTGGACTGTCGAGTTGGGCTGTTTTTTTTATCTCTTGCGGCACAGTTACAGATTATCACACATGCAGGTCTGAGCATAGTGAACACAGAGACACACGGAAAAGGGAGAATTTGGTGCAGCAAGGAGAGAGACCAGACTTGGACCAGACCAGACGCACACCCATCAAACCCCAAGAAAGGGACTGCTCCACAGATCAAAATGCACCCAGGCCATTCTATCTGTGAGCCTCTCCCCAGCCCTCGCAGCAGCTTCACTGTGTACAATACAATCTTGCGCATGGAAATCGATTTTAGGCGCCGCTCTCAGCACTCTAAATTTGGGATATTCTCATTTGAGAGGCTGGAGAGAGGAAGGAGCTCCTACCCGGACTTACCCTGACCAAAGTGAGCAAAGCTGGCCCAGCATCTACACCTGCCTCCCCCTGGATCCCCAGTCAAATGGGTCTGGTGGTCATTTTTACACAAGAGAGACAGATAACGGAGAGGAACATAAACAGAAAGAAGGCGAAATGTCCAAACCCTTTGCTTTCCGTCACCACAGTAGTCAGCCAAACATTCTTTATTATCAGTATAAGGTTTAAAGTATACATTTTCTCAATAAAAGGCATGCTGATTTTTTTTCCCACTGTTCTATATATATAAAAAGGCTAAATTAAAAATACCTTT